TTATTTTTTTTCCTAACTACAATCCAATTCTTCGCTTGCGCGATGCGAGAAAACCTGTTTAACCGGTACTACAATAGACGAGTACAAATACCGCGTGATATTTGTACTCGTCTAGGTGTAGTTGGATAATAATCAGCGATACTACAAAACAAAACGTCTGATAAGAGATTTATTATCCAACACAAATTGCTATTTCAGTGCAGGCGAATTTCGCGGATATTTCTGGAGTACAAATATCGCGTGATATTTATACTCGTCTCGCGCGTTATTTGTTCTCTACGAAGCAAAGTCGGATAATAATTTCAGTTTTTTTCTATTCATATAAATTAGGCTTTCTGCCTCGACAACGAGTATAAAAAACGTAGAATTCTCACTCAAAATTGGGCCAGGAGGGTTAATTTGCATGTTCATGCATGAGATGATGGGGAATAATCATGAGTGCCATTGTTAAAGAGGACTAGAATTATTTAATTTTGATTAACATTTGATTTGATTCATGAGCCCCCTTCCTTTCTTCCGAGTCCCTTTCAGGACCTTAAGGTAGATTGCATATCTAACTTCATTATGAAATTAATATTCTGGGTGATTCCTCCTCTCAAGGCATTTACAATTATTTTCCACCAAAAAAAAAGAAAAAAATGATAACACTTAACAGAAGAAAACGTGTAATACTATAAACTACCGCTTATAAGCCCTGGGCTTATGCAATTTCGTAGCGGGTTTAGGAGGACTCATCAAACGAGAGCCGGCGCTTATGTCAGAGTGTCAGAGGTGGCTTACAACCGGAATAGAAAAAGCACTTCGAAACGAGCTCTGGCAGCACTGAACAAAATAGGTTTTGCCAATTAATTTTACTGGTTTTTAAAGCTTTGAAAAGTTACTTTGATGGTATTTTGCGAGAAAGTTTCAGTTATATAAAGAGCTTATAATTAAAAGAAGCAACTAACGCATTGTTCCATAATAAATTTCAATTTTTCTTTTAAGAATTGGTACAGAGTTCCTAGTTCCTACCTCTCAAAACGGAAAAAGGCCAGAGGGGGGCTTATACCTGGGAGAGGGGGAACTTATAATTGGATTTACTTTCTTTAGATCACGGGGAGGTGGACCTATAACCAGTGGGGCGTCTTAGTGGGGGAGCTTAGAAGCGGCAGTTTATGGTATGTAAAATGTTCCTTACGGACTTGGATTAAACATGATATGGGGGAGCTTAGAAGCGGCATGATGGTCTTTGCTTTTTTGCTTTTTTTCAGTAAACTTAATCTTCTTAAATCGTCTTAAAGGAAATTTCCAACATCCTTAGGGAAATGAAATTGCAATAATAGGTATAACTCGAGTTAATATTTACAAAGCCAATATACATAACAACCGGTTCTTGCTAAACAATAATTCTCACCTTTTGACAACCAGGAAAAACTTTAAATTGAAAATGCTAACAAGTTGGAAATACAAGCTAAAAAGTTATGATTTTAAGAATCAAAACTACAAATCAAACAGTTGTCGAGGTTGTCAAACTTTTTCATTTTCTCTTCACATTAATTTTCGGACAGAATTATGAGGATAATTCCTATAAGCATCGCTTTGTACTAATCTATTTTTCCCGTTTGCTCTGTTTTTTTGCTTCTTATTTTAATTTCTTTCATCAACCAGTGAAGCTGGTTCAGTTGAAACAGGTGATTAACATCTTTTATTCAAAAAATGACTTTACATACTCGCAGCCAAGTTTAGCGAGAAAATAACATATGTTTGTCCCGGCCCGATTGGTTGACTTAGTCCCACAACCTCTGCACGTTCTTTGCTTATTGTCTGACTTCTGATAGACAAGATGTTTAGATAAAAGTTTGGTTTCAATTAACTTTCTGTTGCACATTATACAATCTAAATTCACCAGCATGGTAAAAAAGCTTAAACCTCGATAAAATGCTGTAATTGTAGGCGTTTATCGCAAAGAGGACATCGAGGTACTCAATCTGACACCAGACCGGTATAACTGTAATTCCAATACGATTTAATCTGATATCAAACACGTCAAACTAAAACACAAACGAGAAAACCTATTCTAAGCGACATTACAAAGAGCTAAACTAAAACAATAATCATTACATAACAACACAAAGGTCGAGCGCATAAACCCTAACAACAATCGATGAAATAATAAACGAAAACAAGAAGGGGAGAGAAAAATACGCTTACCGATTGTCCTCTCTGTACTCCTTATTAACCAGAAGTCGCAAATGATCGCAGATAACTTTATCGCAGATAACTCTATCGCACAAACTCGCATAGACTCTCCTTTCATCGACAGCGCACGAGGCCACAACGTACGAGGTCGCAATATGTCTCACTAAAACTTAATATTTAACTTAAAGACAGTTACAAATGCAAATAAATAACTGATAACGTTACTGGCAATTCAAGGCAGAGCGCCATGCTTTACTTGGTGTTATTATTTTTCCAAAACACAGTTAAATTGTAGGGATAAAGAATCGTATTCATATCCAGGTTAAGAGTTGAGCCTTATAAAGTAGAGCCCTGTTGGTGGAAACTCGCGAAAATTTTCGATGGAGGAAATAACTTTTTTCATGCTTTAATGTTATAAAGGGCTTCTATTTCATTTATGCTTGATGTCAACATAAATACCCGCTCGCATCTTGGTTCTCATCACCCTAATTATAGAGACAGACAGACGGAGAAATATGGAGCGAGTTCACCATCTCGTTGTCATGGCAATTCTTGCGTATCGCCTGCTTGTGGCCTAACAGTGGTTCTTCTGCGACAAATTACTCGTATTTCCGTCTCTTCTGTTTGTTGAACTCGTTTTCGTAACAGCAGGTGGACAAATACCAGTCGAAATCGCCTGTTCCTCACCGCGTAGATCAAAGGATTCATCAAAGAATTAAGCAACGTTAATGTAAAAGCTAAAAAGAAAAGTATATGGGCGACATTAAATTCAGTCACTTTGTCTAGGAAAAAATTAACGGATATCGAAATAAAGTTACAAAAGAAAACAGTTAGAACAATTGGCGTCGTTGTCTTTAACGCCTTTCTTTCCTTCTTGAATTTTTCCCTGGCTTCCAATGAGACTTGCTGAGAAGCAATTTGTTTCTCATGGCGTCTAACCTCTATATAAATAGAAACATGGCATGCAACAATTACTAGAAGACTACATACTAAAAGAACATCAACAAATACAACAGTCACAAAATCATGTTCAGAGTCTATAAAATCCTTGATTGCTGGAATAAAGGCTAGTATCCACGCTATCGCAAAAGAGATTATCAAAATCTTATTAGAGGAATAATTATTGTAGAAAAAGGGACGTTTTATCGCCAAAAATCTTTCCAAGCTTATCAATACCACATGAAACAGAGATACGCTGCAAAACATGGTGAATAAGATCCCCGAAACTTTCTCAAACGCGCAAAACTCAGCAACACTTCTTCCTTGAATGAAATACACTTCCATCGTAACAAAGCACGGCTGAATTGTTAAAGTTACCAAGAGATCCGTCGTTGCTAAACACGCCAGCAGAATGTTTGACGTCGTTCGAAGATCAAGCGTAGACTTCACTGCTATTATCACAACAAGATTCAGTAAGATTGTAAAGGGTAGAGACACCAGTAGGATAACTGTTGTGAAAACTAGCACGGAATGGACATCGGTGGACAACGCATCTGGTTTCAACACGGGCAAAAAAGTGGCTGTGTCGCAGGTATAATGGGGTTCGTTGTTGACCGAGTGTAGCTCCGAAGTATAATTCAAATCTTCGTCAGGGAGAACCATCTTATTTTCGCCAGGTTCAGGGTTACTCCTTTAATTACTGTGTAGTTCCTTGCACAGATGTTTTTATATCTTCTCTTTTTTTAATAACTATATCTCCCATCGCCAAGGGGGAAATCATGAGAGCGACTAGCAGCAATTATTTTAATTATGTAAATTAAGCTGACAATTTATTGTGGGGACCGATGATAGACTTCATTCATATGCAATTAGTTCTCTGCTCCTATGGTTACAGCGCTGTCCACATGAATGAAAGCAAATCGAAACTAGATTACGCCTTAAGTTGACAACATTTGCAAAAAATACCAATGTCTTGTAATAAATTCCCTCTTAAAAATGCAAAATTTTGTGGAGTTATTCACTGTTTTTGTTTGTTTGTTTGTTTTTTTTTTTGGTAACTTTAAAGGGCGGATGGTTTAAATCGAGGGATTAAATGAGAGGCTTTATCAAAAGCTGGTTGCGGCAGTCTATCGCCGCTGCAAAACGTCTCACCGCCGTTGATTTAGCCCGCGGCAGACTCTCGTGTTTGGTTTCCGCGCTTTACAGAGCAGCCACTATCGAAAACCGCTCATGGAAAAGTTATTGAAATTCCTGGCAAATGATCGCGGTGATCAACAATTCTTCGAACCACATAAGGATGTAAAAATTATAGAGCAAAAGCTGCAGGGCAGTGCTGTTCACGGTTGCCACTGACTGGTTTGAGGCGAACTTTCTACAGTGAAACTTTTCCAAGTATGGCAGTATGTTAATAGGAAAAGGCAAACTGGGAATAAATATTGATCGTAATCTGTCATTCACTAATCACATCGGTGAAAAATACCAGCCCACGAGTAGGAGTTGTTATGAGACTACGAAAGCTCATACCGACAAATGCCAAGTTAGCACTGTAGAAAGCAGCAATTCTACCACACATGACGTACTACAGCACCGTTTGGCATTTATGTAAAAGTACTGACGCCCGTAAACTTGAGCGCATTCAAGAATTTGCTTTGAGAGCCATTTATTGTGATTGGAACGCATCGCACGAACAGTTGGTAAAATGGGCGAATCTAACAACCCTTAGAAATAGACTGAGACTGCTAGACACAACCATAATAATGTACAAAGTGAAGTATCACAGTTACCCAACATATATTTCTGATCCGAATTTGTCAAAAAGCAATCCAAATACAATCTTATCCATCTTATGTGTACCCTGTACATCTTATGTGTACCCATGTGTACACATGGATACACAGGGTACACAGGGTACACAGGGTACACAGGGTACACAGGGTACACAGGGAGAATGGGTAACAGGGAGTCTATATGGAGACTGGGTAACAGGGAGTCTATATGGAGACTGCCATGAATTACTTGCCAATTTCTAGGTTATGCACTCCTTATAACACGTTTTTGTTACATTGCAATGCTGTGGACTTTGCTGATGTCCTTCACA